CCCCCCTATTTTATTGCGAGAGTAAAAGCCGATGAAAACATCAAACCAATTCGTTTCGTTGAGGTTTTTTTTCAGTTTCCCCCAGCCAAAAATTCCGGTGACCGTTACGGCTATGGTTACGGTTCAGGCTCCCCTCGTAAATTGGACCCATTTCCAGTTCCGGTTTCGATTAAAGTTCCGGTTAAAATTAAAGTTCCGGTTACGATTAAAGTTCCGTTTACGACTAAAGTTTCGGTTACGATTAAAGTGCCGGTTACGATTAAAGTTCCGGTATTACGATTACGTTTACTGCTTCGGATACGATTACGGTTAGTCAGCCCGGTCACGGTGATGACGTATTGGCAGTGACTCGAAGCCCCCATGAGACCAGAGCACATGTCGCCCATGCAAACTTTCGACGCCGAGCACAGTGGTGGTGTTTTCGTTGCCGTATCTCTAACAGTTCTCAAGATAACCAGGGGTTAAAAAATCGACTCTTTCCAAACTCCCTTACGATTCCATTGACCGTTTCTCCCTGCGAAGCTTCGTTTAAGCGCTACGACGTTTCAAAGTTTGATACTTTCCGGTTACGATCGTAATCGTTTACATTACTCGTAACCGTAACTGCTGACCGTAAACGAGCTACGGTTACGGTCGTATTCGTAAGCTTATTCGTAACCGTAAGTGTAAACCGTAATCGGACTCCGGTTACGATCGTAATCGTAAATTTTAACCGTAACCGGAGCAAATTACGGCCGTAATCGTAAATTTTGACCGAAACCGTGCCAAGTTACGGCCGTAATCATAGATTTTGGCTGAAACCGCATTCAGCATTTTCGGCTGGGCCTTCTTTCTTCTTGTTTTTAATTGATGTATCATCTGCTAAAAATTAAAAACAGGCCCCAAAATAGGTTGTTTTTATTGAAAAATATTTTTTTACCGTTTCCGTAGGGTAACTCGTCAAAGTACAGACCTTGGAATGAAATTTCGTCCGTTTTGCTCTAGCTTACATCGTTGAGGAGCTGGAGGGCATTTTTGGCGAAATTAAGAGAAAAAATTACAACCCTGCATAACGCTACACGAAAATGGCGGGCCGTAGGGACGACCCATTTAACTTCTCCAATGACAGTACTTTCATGTACATATTTGTTGTGAAAACGACGGGGGGGGGGGGGGGCACTTACCTATAACCACCTTTAAATTCAAAGGAATCAATCAAGCTCCAAGCGCTGTAGGCCAAGACAGAGACGTTGTATTGGTTTACTGTTGATACTAAGGTTCGTAAGAATGCCTGTAACATAAACACAATAAATCTCACGCAATTTTTCACTGTGCAATGCTTACAAAACTGCGTTTGTTGAATGTTGATAGGATCTTGTGAGAAAACAGGTAAATCGCTTCAAGCAGCAGCCTGCAGCCATGTGTATGTTATAGGGGTCAGTATCACTTGGTACTCTTAAAAAAGGAAAATAAGCCATTATGAGATCAGCTGTCTCACACTCGCAGCTCCAAGATCACATGGTCCTTAAGGGGGTAGACTTGTGAATTGTAAAAGTTTGGAAGAATCCTCACTACAAAACCACTACACGCCACATCGATTTTGGATTAAAAGTGTACGAGTCCCTCTCGAAGAACGTGCCCATCTTTGCTTTCAACTGGATAATGCAGTCCTTTTCGGTGCACACGATTGTAGCGCAATGGATGGTCTTCGACATTTTTAAAAAATGCGAGTTTCTCTTAAGAGATGCCGCTAGTGGTTGACCTGGAGGTTTTGCAAATTTCGAAATGGAAATACTCGAAAAAGATCACAAAACACGAAAATGAACAAAAATATTTTCCTATTTTTTCATATTTTCGCTATGTGATTTTCTCGATTTACTTCCATTTCGAAATTTGCCAAACCCCCAGGTCAACCCGATGGGTCCTAAGAACGTTGTCCGATCTCGCAGTGACACTTCAACAATGTTTGATCTCGCAGTGGCGCTTCAACATTGTTTGATCTCGCAGTGACGCTTCAACAAAGTCCGATCGCCTTTTGCGTTCTCTGCGGCGCCGTCTTTTTTCCATTGCGAGTTGAATAATATTGGCAGTAGAGAAAAAGTAAAAATTGCAATGTGTTCTTCAAAGATTAAGGACGACATTGATGTTTTTACTTTTTCTCTACTGAGAATATTATTCAACTCGCAATTGAAAGAAGATGGCGCTGCAGAGAACGTCAAAAGGAGATCGGACTTTGCTGAAGCGTCACTGCGAGATCAAACAACGTTGAAGCGTCACTGCGAGATCAAACAATGTTGAAGCGTCACTGCGAGATCAGACAACGTTCTTAGGACCCATCGAACCACTGCCGGCATATTTTAAGGGGGCAGTAGCACTTCGAGACGGATTTGAACAACTTTAAGGTAGTTGTTGTTCTAAAATTCGCAGTTTTCATCGGAAATTTTTTTATCCTAGTTCATTCTACTGAGTCTTATGTACTAACAAAGAAAAACTATACGGGATCACGATCTGTCAAGTACTGTGGCTTAAATCGTGCGCGCAAGCTATCTTTAAAAAATTTCTGCTTGCTCGTGATCCCGTATAGTTTTTCTTTGTTAGTACATAAGACTCAGTAGAATGAACTAGGATAAAAATTTTCCGATGAAAACTACGGATTTTAGATGAATAACTCTCCTCAAATTTGTTAAAATCCGCCTCGAAGTGCTACTGCTCCCTTAACACTAGAAGGACTGGGATTTTCGTATACCTAGAAGGACCGGAGGGGTCATTTTGACCCCTCTATGATTTTTGGCCGTTTTTATGGCTTCGAGACTGCCGTTTTATCGCACATGATTATGGTTTTATGTGTTTAAAGGTACCTGATGCCATGACGTGACATAAGTTAGGTTTAAAGTGCGTTTAGGTAGGCAACCCGCACGGCATAAAACATTTTTTTTTTTTGCAATTTTACAGCTATTTCTGTTAACTGTTTGCACCATATAAGACATTTTTAAACTTTAAAATTAATATCTGACTTAGTACACATTTATAATCACGTGATCTTTAGAACACATAAGTACTCTAAAAGCGGGAGTGTGATTCACACAAAAACATTTTATTTTTTACCGATTTGGCACTGACAACAATGTGCGTGGCAGTTTTGGCATTCGCAAAACCATCCGTACTTTGTGCTAGAAGGCCCCCTTTCCATCAGAACACGAGTCTGGTGACGCAACTACCACTAAAGCCGTGTTGTAATTTAGAAATTTGTGACGTGCGTGTTGCCTACCTTCCCTGAATGAAGGAGTGAAAAAGAGTCACATGGCCGACCAAAAGTCATAAGCCATCGTACATAACAAATACGGTCAGCCTTATGATGGAAAAGTAAGTCCTCGTCAGTTCACACTCATAAAATCTCGCGAAGGGGTCAAAATGACCCCCTCGGTCCTTCTAGGTATAAGTAGCAATATCTTCCGAAGTTCTTGTCGCAGAGACCTCCCATTTTGCGTCCAAGCGTCTGTCGGTAGTACATGAAAAGTCGGAAAGTGACGAATCGCTCAAAAAAAATAATTCGTTGTTCCTTTGGCAATTAAAGATCAAAAGGGGTCATTTTGACCCCTCCGGTCCTTCTAGTGTTAAGGGTAGCTAGCAGTTTTTGAGGGGCTCGCAGACCCATCCATTGCGCTACAGTCGTTCACACCGAACAGGACTGCATCGTCCACTTGGAGGCGAGGATGAGCATGTTCACGGAGAGAGCACGCACTGGCGCCTACGGAAAAATTGGCGTCTCCCTATGCCTCAATACACCTCTACTCCTAAAACGAGGCGGTGGATAGTATTTATGTAGTGACGATTTTTCCAAACCCTTAACTTCACAGGTCTGCCCCCTTAATGAGTCTCAAAGAAAAGGCCATTTTCGGAAGGTGCCCATGTCGTGGCCAAAGCTGCGAAGCAGTACGACGCTAGTCTTACCTCGCGTTCGCAACTCTCCTGGTTAAAGCGTCCATGCCGTCACGCCGAGGAAAGGAAAGGTTTCTTGAATGAAGAAAGCTTTGCTCCACCACTTTTCTTCTGTGATGTGAAAATAAGATAACTTACACTGTGATACGCCCCTCGCTGGTTGTCGTGGACACCTAAGCCAAGCATGTCTCCATATCCGTTCTCAGTGATAACGATTGAAATATTGTACTTCTCGTGAGTCCACAGCAGAGCATTACGCATAACATGAGGTTCAATCTGTAAAAGAAAGTAGGTCATATTTATTTTCATCATCGTGGTTGCGTTACGCAAAAACGAGTGTAATTTGACGGATTTGACCCTAAAATGAAGGTAAGGAGAAAGACCCGGTGATTGACAGTGGGTCACATTTTTTTAGCGGGTTTTATGTAAAGCGGAGACTATGCTCGAGACCTGAGTAAGCTACTGTGAAGTTCTGGAAGTCCCTTCGACCACGTATATATATATTACCCGCTTCCCATTTCCGATGTTGATCGGATTTTGTTTTTTTAGTAGACCCATCTTATAACAAACTTAGTACTAAAATTCTGGCTGAACCCTTTAAGTCACCTGTCCCACATTAAACACCTTTGTAGGAGCAAGTTTTCGTCATAAGTGACTCATCGACCTATAGGAACGTGTGCCTCCCCGGGTTATGTTTTAAACTACCCGCCGGGCCTTGCAGCCTCTTGCAGTGGTGCCAATCGCTCACCCGGGATTAGTATAATTTTCTCGAGTGAAGACGATTTTTTTTTTCGAAGCAACATGGTTGATTATCTCCTTCTTTCTTGTCATTAAAAGTGGCAAAACATCGCAGATTTTTGTGATAATCAATTTGGATTCATAAAAGGGCCACATAGCTATAAAGGAGGGTGTAACAGATTTTGAAATTTCGCTATATATGTAAAACCAAAATTGGGTAAATCGGGCGCAAAATAGTTTGGACCCACACTACACATAAAAGTTGCTCGCATGAATTACTAGACGCATTCCTGTGTGACTTAGAGCTTGTTGAATAAAAGTCTGCATTTGTTACACACTGGCCAAGAAGAAAGGGTAGGATTCAGCTCTGCAGACAGCTAGAAACGCAGCTTCCCCTTCCTAATAGCTGCTGATACAATAAAAGTTTTACTCAACAAATTTGATTGTTTCGATTGGAATTTCCTTGAAATTTACGAATTTTTAATTGAAAATGTCAAATTGGTACTTATTTTAGATATATTGTGTAAGCTTTATCTGCAAACAAAAAGTTGCGCTTCAGTGGGACTGTTAGGGCAGAGGCATATCATTGATAAGCAAATAAGATAATTCGTTTTATCACATACTGCCCGAGGGTACACAGCATGTTATGTTGCCTCGTAGGCCGAGAACGCTCGAGGTTGTGCTGTTGACAACGACCATTTTACAAGTCCTGAGGTTTCTAATGATTGAAAGAAAATCATTAGTTCGGGGGTAGTTTGTAACCCAACGACCTCAACCCAAAAGGATTACGTCGTAATATGATGAAAATTGCCTAAAAATCGGGAGAGCCCATCTTGGCCGTCCTCTCATCGCCGTAACAACTCCCCAAGCAAGGCGTTCTCAATTTCGAACGACCTAAGTCATACAGAACACATAATATTAACATTCACTTGGTTCCGGACGTCACATACGCTGATAAATTAAATGTTCATCTGCTCAACAGTTTTAAGTGTGCAACTTCAAGTTAAATACTTGCAAGTATGCAAACTACAAGTTGAATACTTGCAAGTGTGCAACTCGGTAGGTGTGCACTTGCAAGTGTACAACTCCTCGGTTGAGCACTTTCTACACAGAAAGCGTCCAATCTAAGTAAGTGTTTCACCGAAGAGTTGCACACTTGCAAGTGCACAACTGCCGAGTTTAATAATAATACTTCCAAGTGTGACTACGGAGTTGCACACTTGCAAGTATTACACTTCCAGTTGCACACTTACAAGTGTTGAGCAGTTTAACACTTAGTTTATTAGTGTATTCGAAAAACGGAGGTCTGTTACACACTGCCCCTGTTTGTTACACACTGTCCCACCCTCCCTTAATCTTCCTCCCTGAGACACCCCCCACCCCCTCCAACCCCCTCACCAGAAAATGTGTTGTTGTTTGTCAGCACATTCAAACAAGTAGAATAGTGCTTTCGTTGTGCGTCACGTGCTCAAAACTCTCAAAAAATCTTTAAAACTTTTGGATATACCAGTTCCACTACGTCCCTGCGCCCCAAAAAGGATGAAAACGCCCTTAAGGGGGCAGACCTGTGAAATGCGAGGGTCGACAAGGGTTTGGAAGATATTTCATTTTAAAGAAACTACGAATCGCAGCGTTATAAACGAAAGACCCTTTGCATAAAAATTAATTGGGCTACAATTTGGCGTATGCTTATACAGTGCCCACCTCCGGGTCTTCTTGGCCTCGAAGTCAACGGTTGCAACTCGTCGTGGCGTGCATGATTTGGACCGAACAGATGGTCCTGCGGCAATGACAAAAATGGTAATTTACTTTGAAGAGATGCGGCTGTCCCATTTTTTTACCAAAACTTTGACATTTTTTTTTAATATTAAAAATTAAAAATTTTAAAATCGCTCTCGTCATGTTAAGACTAACTAACATTTTTTGTCGTTGTCGCAGGTGTATCCGTTCGATCCAAATCGTGCACGCCACGACGAGGTGCAACCGTCCACTTAGAGGACCAGAAGACCGGGTTCCCGGAGGTGTGCACTGTATGTGCAAACGCCAAATTGTAGCCCAATTCATTCTTATGAAAAGGGTCTTTCGTTTATATTGCCGCGATTCGTAGTTTTTTAAAAATAAAATATCTCCCTAAACATTGTATTTCACAGGTCTGCCCCCTAAAATCGTCTCTAGACGTTTTGACGTGCCATACTTGGCCAATCCCCAGCCAAACCACGACCATATCATGTTTCTTGCGTGTCAACAGAATTCTTTAAAATAAACTTGCGGTATGCCAACCCATCCGAGGGTTGGCGATAGCGCTGTCACCGTAATTTGACAAGCGATTCTTAGACCAAAGTAAGTAGAGAAACAGAGATTGTCTCCCCCCCCCCCCCATTGCAAGTTGCAGTCAAATATTTGCATTATCTCCTCGACCATGGGGGAGAATGAACGTTTATCAACCAATCCGCAAAGAAGTTTTCGAACAACGTCGCTATACGATCTAAAACCACCCGATTCTAACCCTCTGCTCTTAGTCCGAGCTCTAAGAAACTCACCGTGTGCGTCACTGTCAGTGTTGGGTTAGATACTCATTTTTTTTATCTAGATACAGATACTACACACCGGGCGAAATTGTATCTAGAAACAGATATAGATACTGCATCCAGAAAGTATCTAGATAAAGATACTAGATACTCCTAAAGTATCTGAGATACTTCATTAGACACTCGATCGCTAAACAATTACCAGAAAATAAAGAAATAATTGGTGCAAAATCAAATTATAAGAGGCTTAGATTGGTTGCGTTTCCTTAAAGGGGTTCCTTGGATTTCTAGGTGGTTCTCAGCTGTATCGAATTTAACTCAACAAAAAAATATTTGTTGGCCTTTCGTGAAAGTTATTCTTTAAAGTTGTCATCCACCACCATCCAGGGAAAAAAAGGATAAGTCCTCGCAGAACTACATCCAAAAAATTGAGTACTTAATTCAAGAACATGGCCTTACGTTTTCAGAACACTGTTATTCTCGGTTCGTCTCTTCACTCAAACAATTGAACTGATGTAATGTAGAATGAACTTCTCTTAAGTGAAATTTTCTAAAAAAAATTAAGAACACTGCAAAATTAAGGGGTGTGAGTTCACTAATTGCAAGAAGGCTTATAAAATTCCTTATGCTGACTACTAATTATTGAACTTAGCGAATTTGTTAGTTTTCTGGGCTTATCTCTTTCCGTGGTTATGGTCATGTGTGTCGCGCAGACGAGCTATTTCGTGCCGATATTATCCCACTCTTAATTAGAACAGGGCGACCGTCTAAAGGAGATTGGTCGACAATCCAGCGCCGATTAAAGATCGGACGACGTTGTGGCGTCACTGAGAGATCGGGCGACGTTAATAGGACCCGTCGAAGGAAGCTGTATGCCGGTTGCGTCGCAGCGTGACACTGTTTCGAGTGATATCACGAAATCCGTTACATGGACGTGGTCTCGAGCACATCTACCTTGTTTTTACAGTTGTATAGCCTCCCTACAAGACTTTGCTCGTTGGCCATCTTATCTTACCGTTGTGAATGCACCGAGTGCACCTCCATTCAAGCTTATGTCGATGAAAGGTATGGCTTCTCCCAGCTGCCCGAGAAACATACTCGTCCCATCTCCTGCACTTGCGTTATTGAAGCGATTAAAGGACGCTACCATTCCAAAGTATATGTTCAGCCCGATAAAATCAGCAGAACCTGAAAAGTCGAGTAAAGGAAATTAAAAGCAGGAACGTGGTACTTAAAATTTCGGATTCAACTGCTCGTACACGAGCTTTTGGAAAAAAAAGGGGGTACAGGAG